AGAAGACCCGCCACGGGACAGTTACTACAACAGCATCACCTTCGCCCCAGTGAAGCCGGGTTCGTTATGTTCATTTAGGCGCAATTAACGTTGGGAATAGTATGAATCCACCTCTTCTCCCCTCCAGCTATGGGTTAATTAGTAGGACCTGTATCAGTAAATCATTATCTGATAATTTTTTTTCGCAATCTAAAAATGTCCTGGCTTTAAATAACCTACAAAAGGTTGATAATCTGTAAAAAAGAAACAAAAAAAAACGAATCAATCAAAACAATCAAATGCTCTTTTGAATGTTGGTGTCACCTTTTCCGTAATCTGTGAAAAGGTCTTCTACTCATTAGGAGTTTTGCTATGTCCCCTTTTGCTAAAGTTTAGTAAAAAGGCGCCAGAGGTCGTAGTTCGAGTCTCAGTAAAGATCATGATTTCACCTTTATTTCTTTTTGTAGCTAAGCAGTTCTTTCTCGTTTATGAGATTTAGTTAACAAAATTGCCTTTCCGTTTCACTTGACCTTATTCTGTAATAAATTCAGGCCCGCCATTTTTTATCATGGATATACCGTATAATCACATTAACATAGTGTCTAATCTGTTTGTCTAATGTTTGGATTCTTGGCTTTCACCCAGGCGGCCCAGGTTCAATTCCCGGCATTGGAACAAATTTTGAGCTTGCGAGTATAGAGGAACCTGAATGCAATGCCGTCGGGAGCTCCGTCTCCTGGTAAGGTCACCCACAGCGGTAAGGATTCATGGAAAAAATCAGACTAAGCACGATCCGACGACTGGCGGGTAGGCGCTCAAGGCGACGTTCTACGTACGAGAACAAGTCAGCAGCCCGATACAAGTTGTTATCAGGAACTTGCTTGTCAAGCCTTGGTTTGCCTCAGCGGATGTGAGGTGTGTGCAATGGAGTGGCGACCTTAAATAATTCGCAGGTTTTATGCCCAAAGATTTTTCTTCACACGTCAAGTGACAGGACCGGATCACGAACAACGAAGTTTTCCTCTGCGCAAAGATGGAGATACTAAAACCATCAGGAACCGCCACCGACTACGATGGGCTTTAGAACTTTACAGGAATGTCAGACATCCGCCTACCCAAATAAATCCTTCTCGGGGGGCTCGCATCTGACAAGAGATCGTGTGGAGCCCCATGTCAGCAATTCGAGAATCAGCTCAGAAACAACTTGCCGAGGACATAAATCGATCAGGTAAACTGGGAGATGTAAGCTGCAGAAGAAAAAAAAAACAATTGTAGAATAGTCCTCGAAAAAGCAACATTCTTCGAAAACACCAGAATACAAATAGAAGAGACGAAACGATCCTAAAGAAAATCCAGAGCTCTCAATCCCTTGACTTCTACTACTCTACCATGCGGTGTCTGTGGACGTCTCTTCAGATCCAACACAGGACATTTCATACAGAAGGAAATCTCTATGAGCACCCGAATACCCGCCGGAGATTTCCACCGACGACAACAACGTTATACTTATTTTGGTTTAATCTAGCACACGACCACATTTGTGTAGCGTTTATATCGGGTTCAGTAAACTAGCTAATGGTCACTAGATTAGATTACTGTCCATTGAGCAAAGCAAACTGCTCTTTCAGTTATTAAAAGATTAAAAGCTAAACGCAAACTTTATCACTCTCCAGCAAAGCCCAAACAGCAGCTTAACCGATTATAACAGAAGTTCCAGGAATGAGAATCCACACTTTCGTTCAATTCATCTTTAAGTCTTCAGTTTACATGTATGTATTTAGCCGATGTCTTCCTGGTGATAGTATAATCGACCCCCTTCTTTTTTTTTATCTCCATATATTGTGACCAATTTATCTGAAGTTAATATTTTATTGATTTCAGGTTAAAACTATAAAAATTTCCAATTTATTTAAGTGAAATTTTCAATTTTTAAAATGTTAATCTTACTTATTATAAAACCCAGGTTGTGTGTGTGTCTGTACGTTTATATATTGGATCGGATTTCCTACATTTTTCAACCGATTTCAACAAAACTTCACAGGACTATGTAAAATTACCTTGCGGTGGTTCTGACAATGCCAAATATTGGAAAAACACAATTGTTTTTGCATGAAATCAATTTGAAAACACGATTAAGAGGCATCGCTTTTGCGAAATGAAAGGGGGACATATCGAGTTATACTTATTAATATCGAGTTCTTTTATTAGAAACCCAAGTTGGTTGTTTGTGTATGTGTGTGTGTTCGTTTATATATAGGATCGGATTTCCTACATTTTTCAACCGATTTCAACAAAACTTCACTTTTTTTTTCGGCAGGTAGTGTTTCTTATTGTCTTGCACTTTTTTTTTTTCTTTATTTACATTCAGAATGCTTTAAAAAATTCCATTTACAAGACAATTGTTTATAATAAAATTCTATTCAATCGGTAGACTCATAACGATTGAAAACAATGTTTTTCTTTGAGTTTGGGTTTGACCAATTCGTAAAAAAAAAAAATAAAATAAAATAATTAAGACATGCGTGTCTGTCAACCTTAAACAATAATCTTTGTCAATTTTATTTTTCAATCTTTATGATGGTCGATACTTGATCTATCTCTTACTGTTATAGCCCCGGGCAATGCCGGGTTCTACTGCTAGTATATAATAAGAATCTAGATATATAGAAAAGGAAAGCACCAGATTAAGAATATATGGTTTGAAAATTAAATACAAATAGAATAGAAAAATGTTTCAGCTGAAGTTGTCCAACAATCACGAAATTCATCGGCAGTTTGCGAAATAAAATGAAATCAATGGCACTGCAAAAGAAAAAGAATTTATTTTTCATAAATTCTCTCAAAGTGTGTTTCTTTCTTTTTTTATTAAAAAAATATGGACGTAAATCGTAAAGACAACCAAGTTCTAAACCTTTTCTTGGAAAATGAAATTATCATTTTAAATGAATTTGGCATAAAGTAACCGTTACTTTAAATTGATATCAGGGGTAGGATATATTTTTTTAAAAATCACTTCCGTGGTTACATATAAAGAGATAAAGAAACCTCTGGTGCTGTCAAACATCGGAACGAATAGGCGTAGCATTAGTTATATTTGAATTTGGTATCCACAAATAAAATTCCGAGCTGGTCTCTCCCATGATTCTTTCTCCTTCACATTCAACATTTTTTTCTCTCTGTTTACATTCGCAACACCAAATATTTTCTTGCTAGTCAACCACCTTTTTCTTATTAACCTTCTATATTTTCTGCAGTTTCTTTCAGTGATGTTCTTAAACCCGTTCTTTCATTGTTCTTTATCATTATCTAGCCACCATTTTATTTCTTAATTCTTCTGAGATCATTTTTCAACATTTTGGAATTTCCAACGTTGCGATCTTACCGCTAAGGAATTTCACATTAACATGTTTCTCTTTTGAATTTGTCTTTCTTACCAGTGGAAATATTTAAAAATATATTATGCTGTTTGGAAAATAACGTCCGATTTTAAAATATGTTTTTGTCGTATATTACTATTATGATAATTACGCAAAGATATATTACTCACTACTAATGATTAAAGTGTCCCCCTTGTTAATTCTATGCCAATCTCTTTCAGAATTTAACTTAAAACAATGTATACCCCTGATTTTGCACATTAAAGAAGAAATACGTTTACCTTTTCTTACTTTTTTTTTTTTTTTTTTTTTTTTTTGCATGAGTTAAAGTTTGGTCATAAGGCTTCTCAAATTGCTACCAATATTAACAGAGCATGGGGTGAAGGGTCCACTTGGGATTGGACATTATTGCGCTGGATTCTGAATTCCCGCAATGGGCATACGATTCTCGAAGATCATCGTGGTAAAGGACGTCAATCTGTAATTGGCAATCAACATCTGAAAACACTACTTGAACAAAACCCACGTCAAAATGTCAGAGAAATGTCTCAGATGATGAGTGTCGTCTTTTTAAAAATATCGGACCATCTCAAGCCAATTGGCAATGTGTAGAAACTCAATAAATGGATTCGACGGGAACTATTTGATTTTCACGAAGTCAAAGAGTCCGACGTTTTGAAGTGTATTCGATGTTGCATCTGCGAAATTGGAACGATTCATTTCTTCATCGAATAGTGACTTGTGATGGGAAATCGATACATAATGACAATCGTAAACGATCGGTTCAGTGACTTCCTCATGACAAAGTACCCAAACATAATCCAAAACAAGAATCATACCAACAGAAGATTACGGTGACTGTCTGGTCGAACTCCATTGGAGCTATCTTTTGTAGCTTTGTAGAATCTAACCAGAGCAACCTACCTCATTAGAGAATGGAACTCAAAATACAATAATAGAAGAGAACAGATAGTGCTCACCCGCTTTCACATAGGCCACACCTAGATTACACATCATCATTTACTAGAGGGTGCAGAAGTCCCAACATGCACTACATGCCAAAACAGATTTACGATAAAACATATATTACTGGACCGTTTAGACATTCACCTAGGTCGAGAAAATCATTACCATGAGAACAATTTAAAAAATATCTTCACGAAAACAAAACCATCCAAGATTTTACATTTTCTGAAAGAAGTGGGATTGTACTCAAAAATATGTGTAACTGAACAATGATATTCCAGCTATAACGCACCTCCAACATTTTGTCATTCTAAACTCATTCTACAAGGAATTATTATTTTATCCCAACGAACTTATTCTAGAACTTTGTCGGCATTAATTGACCCATTGATGTTTATGTGCCGTAAAAGAAAACAATCATCTAATCAGAGCATAACTGCCGAAGTTAACTTCCAGTTAACTGGATTGAATATACATTCAGTTAAGGAAAATGAAACCGGTATTGGTTTATCGACGTGGTCCAATTATGCTTCATGACATGGCTCGGTCACATGTTACCACACAGCAGTTCACTTGACTTGGGATACGAGATTTTGCCACATCCAACATTCTTCTGCTCTCTCGTCCTATGACTATAACTTTTTCAAGCATCTTGACAATTTTTCTTAAGCCAAAAACATTTCGTTGAAAAGAAGGCTCAAAAATTGATTTCAAATATTTTTTTTATCCTTCAAGGCCATATTTATTTCCGTAAAGTCATAAGTAAACTTGTAAGAAATGTATAGATATTCAGGGTTCATATTTTAACTCTTATAAACAATTTTTAAACCAATTAATTCAGGTATATGAGTTCATTCTGAAATCGGACATTATTTTCCGGACAACCTAATACAATAACTACCGTATTTAACGACTTATAAGGCGCACATTTTTTTATTAAAAATATCATTTAAAATTCCCATGCGTCTTATGTCATATATTTAAAATTGGCGATAGTCGGCTGAAATTAGCTACCTTGCAACTCCTATTAGCTTAGACTTTAGAGTACCTTTCTTTTAACTATTGTCATTATTTAAAAAGCTATTATGCAGATTAAAAGTGTTACCATTGATAATATTCATTATATTAATTTCTTCACAATTAATATTAGTACTTTGTTTCACTAAAATTATATGCAATAAATTTAAATTATATATTTGTAAAATATATGTGTTTCCTTATTTTTCTTGCGATAACTTCCAGTTGCATTGGTATAAATACCATCAAAATCTTTATATCCTAATTATTCCAATAAGCCTTTTACAAGACGCAGGTAGTACAGATCATATAAAAGATATAATAAAGTTTTTATAGGCTCGTGTTCTTTTGTTCCTATTATTTTTCGTTTAATTGTAATCATGGTTTGTTTAACCATAATAATACCTCATAAATATATCCTAGGTTGTACCATTTACTAATAATTTTACGAATTACTATTTTTTTTCTTTATTTGCACTGCTGAAATTGAGGTGCGTCATATACACCGTAAAATACGGCAATTAAATACACAGTGCTCTGTCGTGTATATATATATATAAAATGACTTTTTTTTTTAACCCTGTGCTCCTGTGTCATAAATCGATGAAGGAACTTCTATTCAAATGTAATGAAAAAAAGCATTATTTTGTTTTTTTTCTTTAAAAAGGCCACCACCCCCATACCGAAAATTTGATTTTTACACAATCAGGGTAAAAAATCAAAATATTTCAGAATTTTTATTTTTCAATTTTCTAATGTACATCTCACACATCATAGATTAGATAGTACTTATGTATTTTACTGCATTCAACAGTTACATAGTTATAGCATAACTTAAAAATACACAAAAAACAAGTTCGAGAATTTTCCCAAAAGTAATAGCAATATTATACTTATATACAATTTTAGAAATTTCGTGTTAGGGATGACTTGTTTTTAATAAACTGAATTAAACTTTTCTTCATTACTTTTTAACAAAAACTCCTAGATTTATGATACAGGAAATGAGTTATTTTGCAAAAAAGTTATAGCCCTGTTTTATATATATATATATATATATATATATATATATATATATATATATATATATATATATAGGAAAACTGTAGTTATTGCTGATGACATATAAGAATTGGACGAAACGCATCAGCAATAACTACAGTTTTCCTATTGTCTTTTTATACAGGCTAAATTCTGAGAAATTTTTCATATATATATATATATATATATATATATATATATATATATGATGTCCAAAAACTCGCGTCGGTGTTTTGATATTTAATAAATATTCAGGGAAAAGATATTTTCTCTTATTTTTTCAGTATTAGAAAGTTTATTTTTTTTAATTTTATTATCGATAAGTTCTCAGCCCAACAACGAACAAAAATTGTACAAATTTATTTTGGAATTCAACGTTCAGTTGCGTCAACGTAGAGGCCAACATGAATTCAGTGTGAGAAATTTGTCCTCTGAATCATTTATTCGACTTCTGCTGGTACTTTCCCCAGCAAACAAACCCTGTGCATGATTTGCCAAGATCCGGGAGACCATGTTCAGCTCGGAGAGAAGAAAATACTGGGCGTGTATTGCACAGAACAAAAACGGGGAATATCCACTCGAAAACGCTGTTTACGGCTGAATGTGTCTCGAATATTATTACACTGTGAGATTTATGCCAATGTGCCTGCAAAGTCCAGTTTCTACAAGAAATAAAGCCAATACCTTATGATCAACGGCTTAACCTAGCTCGACAAATTAGTTGGCAATAGTTACGGAAAATTTGTTGGAAAGTGTCCGTGAATGCATGGCCCAAAATGGTGGACATTTACTATGCATTATTTTCCAGAATTTAATTAAATTTCCGTTTATTGATCTTCATTATTCCATCAAGATAATTAATAATATAGTCTACTTAAGTAGTAATGTCACTTTTAAAGCCCGTCGCTCTTTTTGGGATGCTTCTTCTATTTGCCGCGTCCCTTCATGATGTGAGTGACAATGGCACTTCACAACTTCCTGTCATTATTAGCCCCGAGAGCAAAAAGATTTACTATCTCTCAAATCCCTGGTCTGCCAACTATATACACAAACTGGTTAGATTGGATATGCTCTGCTTTCCACTGTCCCTCTTGACTTCAGAAGATATCAGGCACCACAAAAAGAGATCAGTATAAACATCAACCACTTATAAGCAGAACCGACCTTCTCAGACCATTAATATTACTACCATGTGCTATGAAAACGTCACAAGGACAAGCTAATGAAGCAAGACTTTCATATCCAACCAATCCCGACATAATGTAAAATGATACATGAAAAAGCCAGCAATTATATAATAGGAAAACTTGGCTATTTTATATACGTTACTCAGTTTTGAAAATACTTGTTTGTCTAAGAAGACTTCTTTTATGTGTCATGTTCCTTCAGGAAGTTTGATCATATCTCTCCTCAATTTTCTGTCCTTTGGAGCCCTACCTAAATTTTGTCTTTTTGCTAAACCCTGTTCTACCATCCATTTACTCAAGCTCGTAAAATTATTATGCAGTTTTCCGTTGTCCCTTTTGACTTCAAGCTGTTTTCCGCTGTCCCTTCAAGCAGTTATCTTCTTTTTCTCTTGCCTTCAAGCAGTTATCTTCTGTTCCTCTTGCCTTCAAGCAGTTATCTTCTGTTCCTCTTGCCTTCAAGCAGTTATCTTCTGTTCCTCTTGCCTTCAAGCAGTTATCTTCTTTTTCTCTTACCCCCAAGCAGTTATCTTCTTTTCCTGTTGCCTTCAAGCAGTTATCTTCTTTTCCTGTTGCCTTCAAGCAGTTATCTTCTTTTCCTGTTGCCTTCAAGCAGTTATCTTCTTTTTCTCTTGCCTTCAAGCAGTTATCTTCTTTTTCTCTTGCCTTCAAGCAGTTATCTTCTTTTTCTCTTGCCTTCAAGCAGTTATCTTCTGTTCCTCTTGCCTTCAAGCAGTTATCTTTTGTTCCTCTTGCCTTCAAGCAGTTATCTTCTTTTTTCTTGAAGAAGAAGAAGGAGCTTTTCTCTTGCCTTCAAGCAGTTATCTTCTTTCCTCTTTGAAGAAGCAGTTATCTTCTGTTCCTGTTGCCTTCAAGCAGTTATCTTCTGTTCCTGTTGCCTTCAAGCAGTTATCTTCTGTTCCTGTTGCCTTCATGCAGTTATCTTCTTTTTCTCTTGCCTTCATGCAGTTATCTTCTTTTTCTCTTGCCTTCATGCAGTTATCTTCTTTTTCTCTTGCCTTCATGCAGTTATCTTCTTTTTCTCTTGCCTTCATGCAGTGATCTTCTTTTTCTCTTTCCTCCAAGCAGTGATCTTCTGTTCCTCTTGCCTTCAAGCTGTCATCTTCTGCCCCTTTAAGCTGTCATCTTCTGTCCCTTCAGGCTGTTTTCCTCTGTTTCTCTTGCCTTCAAAATGTTTTCCTCCGTCCTTTCAAGAAATTTTCCTCTGTCCCTTTTGCCTTCAGGCTGTTTTCTTCTCTCTTAACTTCAATATGCCCTGTGAGCGTCAAAGTTCACTTTCCTCATTATGTACCCTGGAAAATTCAACTTTCTCTTTTTGATGTTAAGCATAATTATCTCTTTTACTTCCATTTTCTCTAAAATTTCGTCTTTGCTCTCATGTTCAATCCACGGTAACGTAAAAATCATAAAATATTGAAAAAAAATACCTTAACTACTTGAGTTTCTCTCTCACTATTATAGATCATCATAATTATAAATTGTCTCCGCTTAGCACACAATCCGAATATGCTTGACCTGGCAATCAATATCACGATTGTTTAATTGTTAATAGTATTTCCGAAAGTTTTGATTACCCCAGAAATGTCTGTCTGCCTGTTTTAAGGAATTGAATATTTGGGGTCTGGATTTATTTCAGATCAGATGCACATCAGCAACTACTTAACTTTTCCTGAATCTCCAGACGAGTAGTTAAAAAATGAGCAGATTTCTAGCGTCACTTGGGGTTTTATTTAAGAAGAGAAAAGTGGGGGAAAAAAATTAACTCACATCAGAGTTTAGTAGGTTATCGAAGATCATTTGCTTTTACACCATAAAGTTAATGGCAAAGAGGTCTTAAGTTTGGTTTGAGCAAATCAAGGTTAAAAGAATGTTACAGAAAAACGGATGACGTATTTTACATAACCCATTAAAACCATTAGAAAATCTTAGTATCTTTTCATTTTCACGTACACCTGCGGCTGGCACGAAAAAAAAAGATCATATATAAAAAGTTAGATTGCATTTGAAAAATCCATCACCACAGAATATTAAATCCTGGATTCAAATTTGATTTTTTTTTTTTTTTTTTTTTTTTTTACTGATATTTCTTTTTATTTCTATTATGCGTATGAACCATATAATCGCCATGAATAACAGATAAATTTGTAAGTCATTTCAGCTAGAATTAATTTTAATCAATTCACCCCAAGCAAGGCAATAAAGCCACTAAGTCGCAGGCATTACTGAATGAAAGAATACAAGAAAAAGAAATACAGAGCGAACAATAAAGGAACAGGATAAAGATTGAAATTTCAAGGAAAGCAGGAAACCGGATGGAGAGTTCCTCAATCTAGAAATATTAAGGAAACTGTTAGCATAGAACTTACGGTATCTAGACATTTCAACTATAAAAGGATGATAGCCAGCTTTCATTCAGTCAGACAGTTAAATGCCATACGTGATACACGCTTGGGCGATCATGTATCTTTCGATACATAACTGACGAGGCAGATTTTTTTTCCGCACTAGTTTGCCATTTCTTTCTGCGCTAGACTGGTTGCCAACCGAGGCTAATGAGCCCTGTCTGACCTGCTATTCAACCCACATCTGGGGGAGAAGATATGCATTCACCTTTCCCAAGGGTATTTGTAAATGAATCTAACAAATTCGACTGGAATTCGAACTCTGCTCTCCGAGTTCACCACTCCGAGCTGATATCCATTACATTATAACGCTTTAATTTGTAATGTCTAGCTACCAAAGAGCAAAGCTTATCCGAACAATTACCATGAAAATATTTATATAAAAGTGGCTGTGTTACGGCGGTGGGGAATGTGACCGAAACCGAGATGCCATGTCAGGACCGATAACATTGCAAATTCTTATTTGGATTTCATAAAGATTCTCTAAATGCATAGCAGAAGCACTCGACCAGATATGGCAGCAAAACATGCGTCCGCGGCTGAGTCGTTCGAGGATTAGCGTTCCGACTTGATGACCAGTGTTCGAATCTATCCAATATTCGATTAGACAAAGAGGTAATTATTTGATAATGTCGGCCTGGAAAGAGGATCACAGACTGTTGGAAAGGGTCTGAAAATCGCCTCACGGGTTGACCCAAGCCCTTTGAGTGAAATTGGGTAAACGAAAGAGTTGGTGTCACAAGTCTTCACCTCATGTCCAAATAGAAGCTCTTTAGCTTTGTCAATCTATTTAGAGATGGTGTCTCGATTAAAAAAAAAACACCCATTCTCCATGAGCGTCGACCTGGTAAATAAAAATGTCACGTGAGTTTCAATCTTTTTTTTTTTTTTTTTTTTTTTTTTTTAAGCAATTCACCCCAACCAAGGCGGGAGTGCCACTAGCACGCAAGGGGTTACAGAGGATTGAGAACAGGAGTAAAGAGGCGTGTTTGAGGAAAGGATACAGAGAAGGACGGGGAACAAGCTCAGGCTGTCAGATGTCGATTAACATTACACTTGAATATTTTAAGATTATAGTCATCGGGGAAGCGAGTAAGGGGAAGGGAGTTCCACAGACGGGAAGTGCGAGAGAAGAAGCTTACATTCAACCGTTTTGACAGTGAAAGGGCGGGACCGAGATGCCAGCCTGATAGATCGCTTAAATTCATGCAGTCTGGGAACCAGCGAAAGTAGCTCATCGGAACAGATGCCGTGAAAATACTTGTAAAAGAGACAGAGGGAAAAGCAATTGTAGACTAGATGCCAGATTAGAACCGATCATATTGTATATTTGCTGTAATCAAAAAAAAAAAAATAACACACCATTAAGAAATGCAATATATTTAAGTTAAGTACAAATAAACGATACGGCATTCATTATATTAAAAAATCTTCCGCTTTATGTAGCTCTACAGAATAATGTTTATATAATTCTAAATCTTTTTTTTCTGCTGGTTAAATATCTGTTTAACATACTTGAGAATATGCATAACTGGAGGCAAAGTTATATTTTTTTAAACAATTTAATGTAATGCCACTATAACAATTTCTTCTACTGAAATCGAAATGTATAATTTCTCAAACTAGCACGAACGATCGTAACAAGGGCAAGTAACTCTGATTGTTATGTCTATGATAACTGTTTATTTGTCTATCTTTCTGAGATGAGGTATTGTAACTGTTTACACTATTTACATAGATCTGTTATCTGTATTGTCGTATTCACGACGTTTCGACTGTTGTACGCTCCATCCTTCTTCAGCTGATATTAGTGGACTAAATAAAAGGTTCGGTTCGAAATTCCAACTAATATCACCCGGAGAAAGCCGGGGTGCATACAGTGACCGAAATGTCGTGAATATGGCAATAAACACGAACACAACAGTCCGAACAATATACATAATGTAAACTGTTTATTTGTCGGGTAAATTTTAACATTTTTTTTTTCAGTAAAAGTTACTGCGAAATTTTAGCTCTCCATCAAGATTTGGCCACACACACAGACATATATCTCAAATATATCTAGAAATACAATATATATACAGACACGGTGTTGAAAGATGTATATAAAATATTTTCTTGAGAAGATTGAGTGGCTAATCAAAATGATTGTCGTTTTTTCTTCGTTTATTTTATAAACGAAATTGCCATCCATTTTCCTTTCTCCTAATAACGCTTCTTTTTCCCGACATTTAAAATTCTTCCTGTGCCTGAAATGTTTCTTCACGGTTTGAGTTATTCTTTTCTTTTTATCTTTCAGGTAAGTTCCGCATTTCGATATTAATGGGAAACTGTTACGATGGAATATGGAAAAATCCAGGTAAAAAGGTTAAAATAAATTCTTATTTTTCTGTATTCAAAGACAAAAAAAAAAAAAAAATACCAAAAAGTGTCTTTCTTTTTTTTAACTGTTTTCTCTATTGGTTGCCATATTAACATGGAAATGTAGTGTCGTATTCCGAAATATTTCATTTTATTTTAATGTATTTATTTTTCATTTTATCAAAAATACTTACTTGGGACATTTCCAGATAATTGCTGCGGAAAAATGCTCACTGTTGACGTTCAGATTCTAAAAAATTATCCTGGCAATATGATTGATATCGACGTTAGCAGATGGGAATTATTAAAAAAAAAAAAAAAAATGCGGGTAATGCAACGGTTATCGGCGCGGTAAGTGAAATCAACGAGCCGAAAAAATTCCTGCCAAATCTGCCACGGTCACTTTCGCACAAATATGCTTCAAACAGATATGAATACATCTTTCTCCCACTCGTGTGTTAAATAGCAAAATAGGGATCTTTAGACTGGGGGAGGGGGAAACCAATCTAGGAGAAGGAAAATTCTGAATTCAAAAAACCGTGGAGAAGACATGTGGGAACCAGTCCATTGTCTTTCTCAAGACGAAATAGCTATTCATCGCTAAAAGAAAAAAGGAATCTGTGGAGAAAACTTGAAAACTTATACTACTACGTCTTGAAAACATTTACTACTTGTTATGGAGTGATTTCCCAGTGGAGGCTTGTATTTGTACTAAGTCGGTCCTAAAATAGATTCGACGTACAAAACGTTAGGAACTTGATATAATAGGTATAACGCAGAGTAGTCTTGTTGTGGTCGCTGATACTTTAGTATTCGACTAACTGTCGTCCAACACCGACTGACTGAACTGACTCCTACTGAGCCTCTCTTACTACTCCTACTTATTATAGGTGGGAAAGTATATTAACTATAGAATAGGTGTGTTTTTAAAACCATTACACTCCAAGCAAAGCAATAAAGCCATTAGGATGTAAGGGGGTTATTGATTGTTAGAGAATGTAAGAAAATGTACTATTAAGGAGTGATGACGATAAAAGAACAAGAATTAAGAAGACAGAAGATAACTGACAGAGCATTTAAATTTTTAAAGATCAAAGTTGACTGGAAAGCAAAAAGCTGAAAGAGAGTTCCACAAGCTAGATGTTCGATAGAAGAAACTGTTAAAATAGAATTTACGATGACAGCTAGCCATTTCAACTGTAAAATGATTAGACCTTGCCGTCAATTTAGTACTGCGTTTAAATTCATAACTAAGACATAAGTGGTTACTGAGTGTTA